CATCCCTTCCAATTCTCTTATTCTGTATTCTGTATCATCATCAAACATCATTTGTCATCTTGGGAAACACAACCAGAGGAAGGTGTTGAGAAGCTGAGAAGGTGCCTCCGCTATCTTCACGAAGGAGAAGATAATGTGATGAACACAGGAATAGCATACCTGGAGACCCCTTGAGCAGGGCTTGGACTAGAATGCTTCCAAAGTCCCATCCAGCTCTGTTGTTCTGTTAATTAACCAGTGAGACGACTTCCTTCAGAAGCTGTGGGTGATACATCCATCCAGTGGTGGGATTCAGTTTTTTTTACTATCAGTTCTGTGGATGTGGCTTGGTGGGCATGGCAGGGGAAGATACTGTAAAATCTCCAGTCAGAGGTGGTATTGGCCGTTTCTCCAGACTACTCCAAATTTCCGCTACTGGTTCTCCAGTACTGGTCAGAACCAGCTGAAACCCACCTCTGATTTGAGACAAGAGGCTGTCCAGCCTCTTCTTAAAAACCTCCAGTGATGAAGCACCCACAACTTTGGAGGCAACTTCTGTTCCACCTCACTGATAGGAAGTTTCTCCTTAATTCCAGGTTGCTTCTCTCCTTGATTAGTTTCCATCCACTGTTTCTTATCTTGCCTTCTGATGTTTTGTAGAATAATTTGACCCACCTCTTCTTTATGGCAGCCCTATCCCCATATCATCATTTTGCTTCCATTCTTTGGATATCCATTTTTCTTCAGGCCAAAATTATAGGAGAAAGGTAAATGTTCTTCTGGCACATCCGTGCTAGTCATTTCCAGCTCTAGGGGGCGCTGCTCATCTCTGTCACAAAGCCAAAGAATCAGTGCTGTCCAAAGACATCTCCGTGGTCAAGTGGCCGGCAGGACTAAATGCCCAAAGGCACACGGAACGCTGTTCCCTTCCCACCAAAGTGGTCCCTATTTTTCTACTTGAATTTTTTACATGCTTTCAAATTGCTAGGTTGGCAGAAGCTGGGACAAGTAAGGGGAGCTCCCTCTGTTATGCGGCGCTAGGGATTTGAACCGCCTAACTGCCAACCCTTTCTGATCGACAAGCTCAGCGTCTTAGCCCCTGAGCCACTGCCACATCCACCAATGAACCTGGGGTTCAAAGAAAAGTATGGACTTCTCTCCAGTTTTCTTCTTGATTCCTGTAAAAAGATATTTCCACTATGCTTCTACACCCATTACCTGAATTCAGCAGTATTAAAAGACCTCTGGACAATTAAGAATTGTTACACAACTCAAACAGTCATGATATTGATGGGCTATAGCTTACTTAAAAAGGAGATATGGTGACAGCGGTTTGACAGATTCCCTCCAGAGTTTTTACATGCTTGGCTCCTAATGAATAAAACATTGTTCTAAGCTTGGCTTTCCTAAGGGAAAGTACCATTAAGTATTATTAAATATTATTAAGAGAGGTGCAGAGAGGGAGGGAGGGGCTCACTTAAATGTAAGGACTGTTAGGAAAAAATGTTCTTGATGATTTTTAGCTTGTCCCAGAAGGCCTTGTAGTTGCATTTCCACTTCTAGCAGAAAGGGGAGCCTTTATTTTATTTACAAAATAAATAAATGTAAATGTATATTGCAGAGGGGAAGAGGGTCAAGCCATTTTCCAAGGCACCCAAAGGCCAAGCAGGGAACAATGGATGGAAACTGATCAAGGAGAAATTCAACCTGGAAATAAGGAGATATTTTCTGAGAGTGAGAGCAATCAACCAATGGAACAGAAATGGTGTAGGGTCTCCTGCTTCGGGGTTGGACTAGATGACCCAGGAGATCCCTTCCAACTCTGTTGGTTGGTTATCTGTTATCTGCCCTTCAGAAATTAAAATTTCTTCTGCTAAGTGTGAACCAGTTCTGAAGTGTATAATAAATTAGGTCAAAATGTACCCACTCAACTGGAAATTTCACTATTTCCTTGTCCAGTTCTCCAGCTTAGAACAACGAGCTTTCAAGAGGACTGGTGAAAATAAACAGTAAAGAACTTCTGCAAAAAAAAAAAAATCAAACCTCAAACTCATTAAGTTTTTCCAAATTAAAAAAAAAAATCCGGGATGGCTAATTGGTGGTTAGTTTTGGTGTTTTTTTTTTTTTTTTTGTTCCTCCCTTTGTGGCTTTCTCAGCCTTCTTTATCCATTCCTAGTTTGTTGGATGTCTGGGAACATCTGAGAACATGGCATAGATGTCCTTATTTTGCACGATATTGTGTTTTAGCAACTCTCCAAAGAAGCATTGTGGCATTCCATTTATCCTCTTCTGGAGAGCTCTCAATCAAAATTACTTCACCAGCTAGGTGGGGAAGCAAAATTGCGTTTTCCTTTTAACAATCCTGCTGCAATTTCAAAACCAACTGGGAAAGCCCTTCAGAGAGTCAGCCAGAGTAGCTGATTCCTTCTTTCTCCATTTAAATCCACCATGTCAGCTTGTTATGAAGCTAGAATAAGGCAAAAGGTGTGTGGACGTTTACCTGGGACCTGTGAGCCAGGGTGGAGGGGGGAAAATCTAAATAAATAAAGTTAATTACAATGTTGACAGTGCACATTTAATGCCATTAATCCAGCACCTGGCTGGCTGAGGAATGGCAAAGACACATCTGTTTATTTTCCACGGAGAAGAAGAGATTTCAGTTTCCACCTTTCCTGATTTACAACAGTTCATTTAGTGACCGTTCAAAGTTACGATGCCACTGAAAATAGGGACTCACAACTTTTTCACGCTTACGACCAATGGTGGGATTCCAATAATTTAACAACCGGTTCTTTGTCCTAATGATTTCTTCCAACAACCAGTTCACCAAACTGCTCAGCAAGTTAACAGCCGGTTCACGCGAACCGGTGTGAACCAGCTGAATCCCACCACTGCTTACGACAATTGCAACATCCCCATAGTCATGTGATCAAAATTCGGGACCCTGGGCAACTGGCTCATATTTATGATGGTTGCAGCATCCAGGGCTCACGCCATCCCCGTTTGTGACCTTCTGACCTTCTCGATTCACTTATCAGCCATGGTGATACTCATTTAATGACTGCATGGATTCATTTAACAACAGTGGCATAAAATGGGGCAAAAGTCCCTTAATAAATTTCTCACTTAAGCAGCATAATTTTGGGGCTCTTGCTTGTGGTTGTTAAGTTGAGGGCTACCAGTAGAACATCTGGTTTTGGTCACCATGATATAAAAAAGATATTGAGACTCTGGAAAAAGTGCAGAGAAGAGCAACAAAGTGGATTAGGGGTCTAAAACATATGAAGAACAGTTGTAGGAATTGGGTAAAGATAACCGTTCCCTTCTCACCATATGTGCTAGTTGTTTCTGGCTCTAGGGGGCAGTGCTCATCTTCGTTACAAAGCTAAAGAAGAGCCAGCGCTGTCTGAAGACGTCTCTGTGGACATGTGGCTGGCATGAAAAAATGCCTTCGAAGGCGCACAGAATGCTGTTCCCTTCCACCAAAGGGGTCCCTATTTTTCTACTTGCATTTTTTACATGGTTTTGAACTGCTAGGTTGGCAGAAGTTGGGACAAGAAACAGGAGCTCACTCCATTATGTGGCACTAGGGATTCGAACTGCTGAACTGTCCACCTTTCTGATCGAAAAGCTCAGAGTCTTAGCCCCTGAGCCACTGTGTCCCCTTAGGAAATGGGTATGTCTAATTTAATGAAAAAAAGGACTAGGGGGGACAAGATACCAGTCTTCCAATATTTGAGAGGCTGCCACAGAGAGGAGGGGGTAAACTTATTCTCCAAAGCACCAGAAGGCAGGACGAGAAACAAAGAATGGAAACTCATCAAGGAGAGAAGCAACCTGGAATTAAGGAGAAACTTCCTAACAGTGAGGACAATCAACTAATGGAACAGAAGTTGTCTCCAGAAGTTGTGGGTGCTCCATCACTGGAGGATTTTGAGAAAAGACTGGACAATCACTTGTCTGAAATGGTAGAGGGTCTTCTGCTTGAGCTGAGGGATGGACTAGAAGACCTCCAACATCCCTTCCAATTCTGTTATTATTTTAAAAGTTCACTTCCTTCTTATCTCCCAACAGATAATTACATCATAATTATAAGTTGGCCCTTTCTCACACCTTTCCCAACGTGGTTCCTGACCAACTCCTTCATCGGTTTCATCCACTTCTGCATTTCGTTCCCCGACTTTCCCGCAAAAAGGCCCAGATGCCCCACCCCCCAAAAGTTGATAGGTTCTAACAAGGTGGCTGAGAAAAGGCTCCCCGCTTTGCCAAACCATTAAACAAGTGTTGTCCCATTGTTTCCAAAAAGCTTCTTAAGGTAATGAGGTTTAACTATTCTATGTGTGGTTCAGATAATCCTTTCCTTTCTTTGGAAGGAGATCCATGCGAAGATTAGCCTTCTCTGGAAACAACATTTCTCTCTCTCTCCCTCCCCCTTTCCCTCCCTCCCTCTCTCCATTTCCCTCCCTCCCTCTCTTTCTCTCTCCTTCCCCCTCTCCCTCTCCCTCCCTCTCCCTTCCCCTTTCCCTCTCTCCCTCTCCCTCCCTCTCTTTCTTTCTCCTTCTCCCTCCCCCTCCCTCCCTCTCCCTCTCCCTTCCCCTTTCCCTCCTTCCCTCTC